AAACTGGGCAGAGTGACAAGTGGAAAAAGGTCTCCTGATCATGTGAGAGTAAAATAAAAAGAAGTGTATTCAAACAGAGTTGTCACATTGGCAAGGTGTAAGGTACAATACCAGCTGACAACACCTTATTGGTATGAAACTTAACCAACGTGCATAAACTCACTCCATTCCTGCAGTGAGGAGTATGAGGTAGGTGGCATCCTCCTCATGATATCTTCAGTAGTTCTTGTACAAAAACACCAGAAAGCTGAGGATTTTACTTTTGCAGAGATGTGGAAGACAAAGTAGATTAAAGAATATAGGACAGAAGAATCATCTTTGAAGATGATAACATAATCCCTGATGCTTGGACCCCTTTCTGTGGTGAAAATCTTCCCCTTTGTTTGTAAGGTATTAGAGGGCCCCCATTTTACAAACTTCCTGTGGGGTAAAGATGCCTGAAATAGTGTGACTCACACTCAGCTCAAAGAACCTAAAATAATATATTTGTGTATTATGCTAAAAAGATAAGCATAAATATAAGAAAAATACTTTGGAAATGGAATGTATTAGTTATGTTCCCACCTGTTCTGTGGTCATCTTTCCCTTTCATGCTGCTTACAAACTTAAAAGAAAGAGGCAGGCAGGCAACTCATGTTGGCTGTGCATATAGCTCCTTCAGAGGACTAGAGCTTCCAGACGGAGAGAAGTCTCCACCCCTAGCACTAAATGATGTCAGGATCTCCTGTATTTAATTTGGCCAAACAAATAGATATGCAATACTTTTTACTTCCCGTCCTCCAGAATTATATGATTAAATGGTAAAAGGGGGAGTCTGGTGAGAGCCGGTTTTAGGACCCTACATGATATTCTTGCTCTTGACAAGGTGGGGAGAAAAGAGATATATTTAATATTTCCTTTGGAAGGGCACTAATCTTATTCATGTGTTCTTTGTCACTATTGCCTAATAACATCTGAAAAGCCAGTTTCCTAATTCCATCAACACCTCAGGGATAAGGACTTCACTTCTGATATGGTGGTGGAGGTACAAGTGTTTGGTCCATGGCAAGTTACATACATGGAATGAGGTTCTATTTTTTAGGGTGTTTGTTTCTAGTGAACACATTAAACTATCTTCTATTTTTCTTTCCTCTGAAAAGGGGCTTAACCCACAAAGGAACTAAGAAGCACTCTGATAGAAGCAGTACTAAATAAGGAATTATCAAATAAAGTCCAGGAATGGAGTGGGATGTATAACTGTAATTAATGAGATAATTCCACATAATTTATCTGTTAATCAAGAAAGGTTTATTTCTGGGGTAACTTATAGCCAATAGGGGTCAATTACAGGATCCAGCAGAGATGAGGTACCATCCAGTGGAGAACTCTGGTTTGGTCTCCCATCCAGCTTCCAGGACCACAAGGTATCCAGAAGGACCCAGCATGTACCCACCTTGAGTCTTAGGGGTTCCTTCTCAGCCACACCGCAGGGGTAGGTCATAGGGAGGTAGGTGTGGCAGTTACCTACTGTCACTCTAGGAACAGTGTTTCAAGGTCAAAGCTGGAACAACTACCCACTACAGGGATGTACTTGCTGCAAAGCATCACATTTCAAAAATAATGATGAGATTCAGGACGATCAGATGACTGCATCACCTAAGACAAGGTAAGTATGGTACCCAGGGACACAGTAGTAATCAGAATGGCTTAACTTACAGATCTTTATAGTGTAGTAGTTTAACAGGTATTTCTAGAATAGAAGTGGTAAGGAGTCCACCATAGTCTACTTAATCTATACAAATGCAAATTAAATTAAACAAAAATTTTGGATAAATTTAGATAAAAATTAATAAAATGTGATTTGAATCAGAAAGATGGGATATCATGACTCTCCAGTCACTGCTTCTGTCTAAATTAGTGTACAATCCAAGGGTTCCTTCAATGAACAAGAATTGAAATACAGTAGAAAACACTGCAATAATTCCGTAACCATGGACTACTCAATTTTTTCTGGAATGACCCATAGAAAGGAGGAATACACATTGGATACAAGATCACAGAGCTTTGGGGTTATTATCATTGATTGGCTCCGAGTTAGTTCTTAATTAAAAGATTAATATGTTCTTACTGACCATTTAAGTGGGAATCTGCCAAGTTGGAAATGGAACCTGTATTGCAATAAGTTCTGTAGACACGTAGCCCAAATACACGGATAAAGAAAGTAAAGGATCTGAGAGTAGGGTAGGGTATCCATGTCTGCAATATAAAACACCCAACTGACAAAATACTTGCTCTTCTCACTTGGACTTCGGGCTATCTAAGGTATCATTCAGGAGACAAAGAAACACAAAAGTCCATTGAGATTGAGTGGAGTGTTTCAATAAACTTGAAATAATTCCATGCTACTTGAGTGACTAAAACAATGGACGTAAAGTGTCAGTTATCCTGTTGCTTGGAATTAGTTGTTATGATTATTGCTGGGAGACACAGTTGATACTACACAAACCGTATTGGCTCCTGAGAAGCATCCCTAGTATTGTAATGCCTTGTGGTAAAAGATGATGGAAGACTACAGCAATCCAATAAATCAACTCCAGCAGCTCAAATACTTCACTATGACTCTAGTAGGTACATAGTAAGGATGTGAAAATCCTGCACAGATTAAAGAAATATGATATATCTAAGCACTAAGGAAACCTAAAATGCCACCTTCTGTCTTGTAGATCTGAGTACCATGGTAATCAACAATCATTCCTACGTATGTGTATTGGTATGTCAATACAAATGTTTCCTCTTCCCTTTACCCATCTATTTTATGTGGGTTGTGTTTTAAATGCATAACTTTATAGTTTACCCATACATTATGGAACTTCAAAAGAAAATTATGATTGAAATTAGGAAGGGATGAATACTTACTAGCAGTGACTGAAGAGGGTAGGTCTGGAATTCCCTTTTAATTGTGGCCTCCTTTTTCATGTCATTGGTGAAACACAGTAGGGACAATAACACATTTGTTAATTTTGTTGTTTAGAAACCTCAGTGAACAGAAGGATAGGTACTGTGGACTTGGCACTAAGTAGGCAATGAATCCATTTTTTCATGCATGCTCTTTTAATTCAGAATCCGTGAAATTAAAATGTGTTTCTCAGCCTCTTGCAGCTCAGGTTAGAGTGTGACATGGGTTTAGCTAGGCATTTGCACTCTCAGAATATTTAGAAATTTTACTCAGAGTGAGACTACACTTTTGAGGTTTCTACTGGGAGACTCTAACATTTTTCTGTTACAGAAAATGGTACTGGAATCCCCATTCCCAGGAAACAGGGGCCGTGAGCATCAGGGATGGAGGGGCGAACTCTTGCTCCCAGTGTGATTTTGGAGTTGCCCTGCTGCTCTCGGGCCAGGAGCTGTGCCACTAGTGTCTGAGTATCTGGGCCATGGCCAACGTGCTGTGTCTTTGCTCAAGAGCTGTGTGATTGGCTTCCTACTATCCCCCACTTTCACCCTTTGGAGAGACTTGGGCTCCTAAAACCACAGTAGAGAGTGAATTTTCAATGCTGTGTAAGCAAGTGTTTCCACGTATGGATTCCCTTCCTTCCTAAAATCTGCCACTAAATTTTTAATGGATGTCCAACCCAGCCTCACATGCTGAATTGATTTATGGACAGGTATTGTTTTCAAGCTTTTTTTTCCTTTCTTTTAATTACTTTTTTCAGTTTTTAAAAACTTCATATATGAATACTTTATTTACATTATTTCTAACTCCTCTTCTCTTTCCTCCAACTTCTCAAGCCCTCCAACTCCTTCTCAAGTTCATGACATATATATATACATATATATAATGTATATGTGTATGTGTGTATATATGTGCACATATATGTGTGTACACATGTATGTATTGTACGTGTGTGTGTACATATGTATATGTGGGTATGTGTGTGCACAAGTGCACATATGAACTGAACCTAAGTCCTACTGATTCCATTTAGGGCTGATCATGTGTACCTGAGTTTAGGACTGACCACTTAGAATTAGACACCTGTCAGGGGCTCATCCCTAAAGAAAATTGAGTTTACATATTTCAGCAGCCATCCATTGCCTGTAGCTTTTCATTTAGGGATGGGGCCTTGTAAAATTTCCCCATTCAAGTTGGCTTCATTGACTGGTATAATCACTGCATAAGTCTTGCTTAAGTAGTCATATTGTTGTGATTTTATGAGTATATATATAGCATCTCTGTCAGGCCTAGACACACTATCTCACACCTGGTACCCAGGCTTTTACAATTTTTCTGCCCCCTATTTTATAATTTTCTCTGAGACTTGCATGCACAGGTTGAATTGTAGATGCTCCAAATGGGGCTGGGCTTTCACTGTCCCTTATTCTCTGTATTTTGGCCAACTACAGATTTCTGCAATAGCCTCCCCTCTCCTGAAAACAATACATTTCTTTCGTGAAATGTGAGAGCTGTATGCTTATCCTTTTTAATGTGAACTAGTCTATAGTTGATATAGACAGGTAAACATCCTCACCTGAAAGGGAAGGGAGAGACTCAATTCTTATTGGTGTAACAGACACTCAGTACAAGTTTATTGCTTGAAATTTTCCTCCAATTAAATGTGTGACCCAAAGAGTAAAACCATATAGTCTTTTTCCACAAAAGAAATTTCTGTGGATCTAAAACAGAACAGAATCACAAATCTTCAGAAATAGATACCTTTTGGTGTGGTTTTTGTTTTCACCAGTGAAATCTTGGATATATAGAAACTAAATTAGATCTCAGTATGAGAGATCCCTTTGGGTAGCCACCACCCCTCTGAGAAAGATGTGCATCCATCCTTATGTGATGGAGGACAGTCTTTGTGCCCTGATGTGTGAGCTGGATAAGATGCCCACTCGCGGGGTTTTCAGAGAGAACTCAGACTTCCTTGAGTAACAATGATAATCTCAAAGAAGCTATCATTTGGTTGTCAACTTTAATATTGCTTTTCCATATGGTAAAATTTTACATGCTTAATGAGTTCCAAAGACTTTTCCTTTTTTCTTGAGTTGTTTTTCTCAGGGAAAACCAATGGAAAAAAAAATGAAGAAAACTTAATCTAAAATTACCAAGATGAGCAGATGAGTGCGATTTAGTGTTAACCAAGTTTTCTGGTACCCCGGGAGTATTTTCTGCAGAGGAAAGAACATTCAAAGTTTAAAACACGCATATTCAACTTATTCATATCTTCGATTTAGAAGATCTAGTTATCCCATAATCTATTAACTTTAGCTTCCAAAGGCTGTCACTTTACATGTAGCGAATTTTTAAAAGGCACTTTGTTTAAAAGGTTCCTATTGAAAACTTCGGTTCAAAAATATAAAACTGCATTGTATGCTTCATTTTCTTTTCAAGTCTGTCTCTTCTTAAACACAATATCCCATTATATTAAATTATATTTCAAAGTCTAATAATTCTGTGAGCATTGTAGAACTTCACACACTAATGTGTTCCAAAACAATCCATAAAATAAACGTTTCCACTTACGATTACAAACCTTAATTAAGTATTGTGATTATGCATCTTAATTTGAATTTACAGGATGCTTACTCTAATGGGCATCAATTCGTTTAAAACTTTTGAGAAGTTGTGACATGCAAAATTTCAGTTGTTTTCCCATTTCTTCTTAGCGTGGTAGTTGTTACATTGTGGTCCTGGGGCAGTTTTCTGCTAACTCTCGAATCTTTGTGCAGTTGAAAGTTACTTTTACAGTAAATGATAGCCATTTAGGTTGACAGGACGTCTTTATATCAACAGGGATTCTTTTGTCTGTCTGTCTGTCTTTTACAGGATCTAGGCACTGCGGAGAGCCATGTTATGTTAAGAGTTGTATTTTAAACCCTTGTGAAGCTGTTACGAACCAGAATGCACCTGTGGCACTTCCTGAACAACCTGATAGCGAGTCTCTGTGGGTTCTGTAACTTCGGGTGAGGTGGTTGGACTATCATACAGCCTTCTTCCTTTTAGTCAATTGAATTCACCATTTAAGTGTAGTATAGATAAAAATTCCCAGTCCAGGCTTACTACACAAATTTCTTCTTCTCTGCTGTTAAAACAACAACAGCGATAGATAGATAGACAGATAGATAGATAGATAGATAGATAGATAGATAGATAGATAGATAGATAGAGACATAGATATTAAACAAACAAATAAAACCAACCCTAATTCTGGCAAAACCAGTTTCCTTAGGGCAGTTTTCATGTGGGTAGCATTTGGCAGTAAAATGCAGATAATCTGGTATATTTCTGGCCTTCTATTCCTTTGGACAAATTGTTTTGGTCCTTACTGTTGTAGGGGTCTTTATGAAAAAGAAGCATTATTTTCTGTGAATATTAGAACTAATGAAGAAGTCCAGAAAACGAATCCCTGCCAAAAGGATCCATCTAAGAAAGACATGTGAGTTACATGAACAAGTCTCTGGTGAGAGGCTTGAGTGGGAAGGGCAATGGACGAGGTCTGAATGACTGTCTAGCTACTTATCAATGAATGCACTTGAAAAAGTCCTTAACCATTCTTACCTCTTCTTCCCAGTACTCACCGTTCCTGCCTTGTGAGAGATTTATGAGACTACAAAGACAGAATTAACAGGAGTGGATCAGAGATATGACAAACGTCGAAGGTGCTCTCTCTAGATTCCTATAAGATGGTTATTATCTGCTTTTTCACCTACACACAGCTAAGCTCCTACACTGATGGCCATAATACCCTGAATAGCTCTAGAAAAGGTTCTTAGGACTTACATTGTGGTATCAAAAGGTAAACCCCAGACTCCCACATTTTACATTCCAAAAGCCCCAAAGGAGAGAGCTTTAGGAGGCTATGCTTGTGTGTGCCTTCCTTGGAATGGAAGAGTGGAGTGACTTCACAGGTCTGCCATACAACTTGTCACCAATGCCTTTTATTTATATTTGGTCTCTAACCTGAATGCTTGCTCAAATCAAGGTTTCAGAGTAAAATAATAATAATAATCATCAAATGGGAAATAATAATCACATTCTAATTCTAATCCAAAAAGAAACTTCACTTTAGGAGCAATTTAAAAAAGAATGTCTAGGGCTGGCAAGATGGCCCCATGGCTCCACAGCTAAAAACACTTCCGGCATGAGTCTGGCAGCCTGAGTTTGGTCCCCCAAACCTGCATGGTGAAAGGAAAGAACTAGCTCCCCAAAGAAGTCTTCTGGTCTTCACACACATGCCAGGACACATGTGAGCACGCACGCGCACGCACACACACACACACACACACACACACACACACACACACTCTACAATAATAAAGAAGTTAATTAGTTAATTTAAAAAACACTGTCGTTTCCAACACAAGAACATCCAAATACTAAAAGACAACAAGAAAAATTTTTTAAAAAAAAGAAAAGAAATTAAAGATGGGAAATTTTAATTAACTTTAGAAAGGGGCGCAAATCCCCCGTGTCATATGATAAAATCCACTAGCAAGCGTGCGAAGACAAAGATGGCCGTGGTTGGGTGATGCGTCAAGCACAAACCAATCCTTCCTCCATACCACTGTGACTTCACAGCTTTGGGTGGGCTGAATTTTGATCATGACATCACTTGAATTCCTGGAAGAAAATGATGGCAATGAGAAACCCTACGGTCCATGCCTAACATACTATAAAGAAATTCAGACTTTCAGTTTCTCTCCTAGGCATGTACTGAGCAAACCACATTCTGAATTGAATCACCTTCAGAGTCGAAGGACGGCAGACTCATTATCTCCAGCATGTTCCCTCATGACTATGAACCATGGTTCATTTAAAATAATAAGAAGAATGCCAAGTTTTGTATTAAAAATTTTAGCCCTCAAATTAACAAACTAAATCAGCAGGCAACTCACAATTTTAAGATAGGCTCACATGAGTGGCTTTTCAGGCTTGTGGCGGAGTCCCAAGGGTCACAGTAAGTCACACACTCACAAAGCAGCTTACAACAATGCCTTAAAATAACAGAAAGGAGAAGGTGTCTGTTCATTTAAACATGATTTAGGATTTAAGGTACTGTGTTTTTTGTTTTTGTTGTTGTTTTCTATTTAAGATCTCACCATTTACAAGTACATGTAGGAAGTAAGGGGGTAGAAACCATAGAGGGATGAGATGAGAGCCCTTCTGAGTAAACATATAAGCCACCGTGGTTATTTAACTTAGACACAAAGGACTGTCTTCATGGATTGGAGTGAAGATGAGTGACTAATGGGTTCCCCTTCTTCCGGGCCTAAAAAAGAGGAAATAGGGAAGAAAGAGGGTTAGTTCTGAGGGAGAAGTGTCAGCCCATGATTGCTGAGATGTAGCAGGAAGGTGTGGGCTGGCAGTACCAAGGAACTGAACTTCAGGAAGGAAGCCTTCCTTCAGCGAGTTTATCACAGGAAGCCAGATGATTGTCACAAGCTCTTTTCCCAACTGCATCCATCCTTGGAAGAAACTGCTTTCTCTCTCTCATGGGCAATGTTCCTTATCAGGCTCCCCTACCTCACTTCTTGTAACCAACTTACAAGGTTACTTAGTGTCCACATAATTTGTGTTGCAGAGAATGATTAAAATTTCATTAGTCACTGTCTGGTCCTAATAATCTTCTCTCTGAGATAGATGACCAAATAAAAATTAAGCACCAGCGATAAGTCAGAATCAAACAGCTCCCTTTGGATATTCAATAAATGCAGCTATTCATGTGGAAGACATATAGTGAGCTTTTAATTTCCATTTTGAGAATTCAGTTGTTACTAGGAAACTATCTCATCTCCTGAACAAATCTTACATGGGTAGATGATATCAAAGGACATGGGATTCAAGGAAGGAAAAACAAAACAAAAACTAGTAGCAACATAATTCTAGCTCTCATCTTCAGGGCTACAAACTGTTCTCTTGGATTCTGGAGGATAGCATGATGGGACAGTGCCCCCTCCCACTCTTGTCATAGCAGTCTCCATGGTGACACTCAACATACGGCCTTTGGAGAAAGCTGCTTTATCTGGAAACCTCCCCTTATGCCTCCAAAGAATGTCGAGTCTTAAAGAAACGAAAAGAGTCACTAGGTTCTAGTACTCCAAACCGTTTGTGCTGTGTTCAAAAGCTTGACACCTAAACCATTTTAGTAACTAGCCTAGAACTAACTTTTGGTTAGCAACAGGTTTTGCTTGTTGTTGTATTTGGTTTAGTTTGGTTGGGGGAGGTGTGATTAACTATTCAGAATATCAATCACTCCAAACACGTCACTAAGTCCTTGGATGGAAAATTATCTGGTTGACCAGAGAAAAACAATTCCAAATCATTGTATCATTTTCTCCTCCCTCCCTTCTTTCCTCTCTCCCTCCCTCCATCCTCTTTCTGTGCCTGTGTATAAAGTGTCTATCGGGGTAGTATGGAGGACAGAGCATGAAGAATTCTATTAACCAAATGAATTTGAAAGACTGGCATGACATGTAGGCAGTGGGAGCTTCATTTAAACAAAGGATCACAAAATGAATGATAAACGATGATTGGTCCTTAAGCAACAACTGAAAAACAAAGGTCAAAGTTCCCATCCCTGGAACAACACTGGAGCACACGAGTGCAGAGGGTAATGACAGGCAGTCAACTGCAAGGTTTGTCCCCTGAAAGACAAGAGGGAAAAATGGTTTGGGAATCAGCAAAGAGAAAATATTTTAAGATTAGTAACGTTTGTTCCTGAGCCAATAATTCGATCTTGCATCCAGAGTTGGGAGGTGATTGTTATGAGCTAAAATAAGAGTTTAATGCAAAATAAAATAAAAATAAAAGACAAAGGCAGCTGGACTTCTAAGGGCAAGGTGAGAAGTGTTACCAACATCCGGAGTCTGGCAATAGTTTAGTCTTACTTGAGGAGTTGTGCAGAATCAGAGGCACTTAAGTACAATAAGAGCAGTGACGTGGAGACAAGGACGGAACTGAGAGAGGTGAAGAGGACAGCCTTGACAGTAAGCCCTTGGCATTTTAGAGGACATGATTCATACTCTCAAGATCTTTTGCTCAGAAAGACAAAACAATTAATGTCTAAAAATTTCAAATTTATTCAAGATTTGAGAAAATTATATAATGAATGTCTTTGGACCAGTGATGAAACTTCAAAGATTCTCCATTCATTACCAGACTTGCATACCTGATTTCTGTTTACAAACTCCTTCTGGCTTCTGAAGTAAACCCAACCAAGTGATTCCATATAGAAATGTTTCAGCATAGATAGAGCTCCAAAAATAAGGTTTTTTTTTTTTCAAGACAGGGTTTCTCTGTAGCTTTGGAGCCTGTCCTGGAACTCACTCTGTAGACCAGGCTGGCCTCGAACTCACAGAGATCTGCCTGTCTCTGCCTCCTGAGTGCCAAGATTAAAGGTGTGGGCAACCACATCCCTCAAAAATAAGATTTTTAAACTAAAATAATATTAATGTCAGGGCTAGAGAGATAGCTCAGCAGTTAAGAGTACCTGCTGCTCTTGCAGAGGATCTAGGTTCGGTTCCCAGAACCCACATGACAGCTCACAACTTCCTATAATTTCAGTCCTAGGGAATTTAACACCCTCTTGTGACCTCCCTGGGCACCAGGCACACATGTAGTACACACACACATTTGCAGGTGAAACACTCAAACACATGAAATAAGAGTAAAAAAATCTTTGAAAAATGTAAATACCTAATATAACATTTTAAAATATTGACAAATTAAAGGAGATATTTTTGAGGTAAGAGAATTTGAGACTGCAGAAAATCCCCAAGAAAGGATTGACTAACCCAAACTACAAAATCTGACCATCAAATGTGACCTTTTATTGTCCCTGTGGATGGAGGCTGGGAGTGAGGACTAGCAGGAAGACACAGGTGTTTGATTTAGGTACCTTGTTCTGAGGATGTGTTAGCAATAAGAGGATAAATTTATATTCAGTCAATAAGATAACAGCTCTTGTTCTTCTATTTTGATATGAAGGAAAAGCAGTTTCAGTTCTCGCTTTAGTAAGGCTCTTTTTGTACTGCTCTCGTAAAGACGGTTTTGCTGCATTCTTTGTAATGATCATAGGTTCAGTTGGTGATCGTGTTTCTTCAGACTAATCCAATCTTCTCCAATAAGGAAAGTGTAAGAATCTTAGAAGAGTGACCCCCACAAGACCCCTCAGCCATGCCCACGTTCTAGAGTCTGTCCATTTGGTAAGCCAGCAGTTCTATTAGGCCGAATTCAGTAAATATCAAACCCAAAAGAAACCACCCAGGTGTATTCAGTTTTTATCATGTGCTCAAGTAACATTAATTCACTTCCTTACTAATCTGGGGCTGAACATTCAAAATTAAAGTACTTGCAAGGTGAGTTTCCTGTGGTTCTCTCTCCTTGGCCTGCAGGTGGTGTGTGTCCCTGGGGTCTTTTCTATCTGTGTGCATTCCTCATATCTCTCCCTCCAAGAACACCAGACTGTTCACTTAGGGTCTTGCCTTTATTACTTCATTTAACCTCAAACGTTTCTGTCTTGGTTATTTGTCCTGTTGCTGCAACAAAATACCAGACCAAAGTGTCCCATTTGTAGATACAATCCATCACAGCAGGACGTCACAGAGGCAGGACAGGTCACATGGCATCCATAGTCATCAAGCAGAGTGATGAGTACTCGTGTTCGCTTCCTGTCTCCTTTTTCATTCGGTCCCCAGCCCATGGAATGGCACTGCTTATGCTCAGACTCATTCTTCTCATCTCAGTTAACGTCATCTAGACAATCCCTTACGAGTGTGCCTGGATATTTGTTCCCATGATGATTATAGATCCATCAGGTTTGGTATCAGTATTAACCATCACACTATACGTAATCTTTATTAGCCTAGCTCCAGATGCAGTCACACTGGATTTGTTGATTTGGGGGAAGACGCAATTCATTCTGTATCATCAGCTACCTCCCAAGCCCTCAGGGAAAGAGTTTGTCATTGTCCCTCTACAATGAAAACATAGCATCTAGCCTTTTAATTATCTTTGTTGCTCTAATTTCAGCCTCCAGTTGTTTTTTTAAATGCTTTCGTTATTCAAAGGTTTGAGGTTATATTTAAGAACATTATAATATATTTCATGGATATAATTGTTCGTTAAACTTTTTTCTTAAAATTGAGAATTGTTTTCATTCTCTTAGGGATCATAACTTATCAAACGCTTCCACCTCTTCTGTCCCACTAACCAAATCGATCATCATGTTATCTAGTAAGCGGCCACAAGAGCTTCCCTGGTTCAGGTTTTAGCAGCTTTTGAAAGTCAACATTGAAGCTAGAGCTAGAAAGACAGGCAGGGTGTGGGGCCTTCCCTGCTCACAAGCTCCATTTGTCCTGCATTGTGAAACCTTTACAACTTCTTCACCTTCCTTGGAAGCGGATAGGAAAATGATATTTATTTCACTAGTGAAAAAACTAAGGCTCTGTGAATTTGTTAGTTGCCTCCAAACTCTATCTAAAATGCCATAAGAAATTGTCCCATCCCCAAGTTTTTCTTAAAGCATGGAAGAGCTGTGGAAGCAAGAAGGACCCTAGTGGGACAATCTTAGATGAGATGGCCATTTTCCTCTGGCTCTGTTTTTAGAGTCAGTTAAAGCAAAACTCAATAGACCTCTGTCTATAACATCGCTGGTATGGGCCACCATCTATGTCACATGTTACTTCCACTCCTGTGTGTCCTGCTTCTCAACCCCTTTTATGACGTATTCCACCCCTCATTTTGAATAGCAGGCCTATGTTTCCCTGGAGACAGACTGGTTTTAAAAAGGCTGTAAAGTTCTGTGTGATCCAACAAAAGGACTAACTTTAACCTATATCAAGCGATTCTTAACAATGAATTTTCTCATGCAATCCCATGTCTAATTCAAAATGGAAGCAAACCAACTTCTAACCCGCCTACTCTTGGCTAACTTTCTTACACGCTAGTCTCATTTCCCAAACAATTTAAAAAGTTGCATTGCACTTACTCTCAGGATAGTGGTTCTCACTTACCTGTGGCTTTGCTGGCTTCCTATAGTGGACTTCCAGCCAGAAATGATAATGGAATATTCCAGCAATGAATTATTTATGAGTTTTAAATAATATAGTATTCTGAGTACAATAAAGCCTTCTACCATCTCACTTGCTACTGTTCACATTATGGATCTCCCCTTTATGCAGGGTATCCAGACTATATACTCTACCTCTCCATGGTCACACTATAATAGCCATCTCAGTTATGAGTTGCTTTCATATTTCAGTCCATGTTACTTACATGGTAACCAACACTGCATCACCATCCCTATGGCTTTCACTCCACTTCAACTCATCAAGTAGGTTCATACTACTTTACATCATCATCTGAGGTAGAAAGTCTGAGTATCATAAGATATTTTGATAGACAGTGATCATATTAATCTAACTTTAACTATACTACATTACTTCCATTGTTCTGTCCTATTATTAGCTATTGTTAACATATTACTGAGTTTAATTTATAAATTAAGCTACATCACGGATAAGTATGTGCAAGGAAAAATATAAATAAAATGTGGTACAATGAGTTTTAGGCAATGAATTCTCTACAGGTGAGGTGTGACTACTGTA